CCTCCATTTTGACAAAATCCATAAAGTGAGAAAGAGCTTCTAGCAGATATCCAATTTTGTAATTCAAAAGCTCTCCACATAATTGCCCTGTCTAACCTTTTGTTGATTCCTTAGTTTATAAAATATGCCATAACAGACAGTTAAATCCAAGTTGTATAAATGACTTTCCAGTCATGGGGGAATAATTATCTTGGGGTTTGTAACTCAAAGTGACCTATTTGTATATAACACATAGTCATATGATCCATTTCAAATGTAAAAATGTTGATCCTCTGTCTTTGCCTCTTCTACAGGATATTATGAGCTACAAGGAGACTTACGCCGCTGGTGAGTTCTCTCTCAGTCTGAATCAGTTATATACAGCGACCAATCTGAGGTTCCTCTCATACTGGAAAGAGTGATAATTCAACTAGCATGCGGAACAGATACATACTAAGTTTTATATTTGTCCTAATGTTGTGGGCGTTTTCAGTTTTGGGGGTGAGTCACGGAGTCATGAGATATGTTTTCCTCATGTTTTTCACTGGCCACAAACACAGTGTGATGTTATCCTCGTCAGAATCACAGTTGACTCATTGCAAAATAACTAAGCTCTCAATAACCTTATTTGTATCCCGTGTTAAGACACATTTTCACCGTACACTTTTTTATTTTTTAGTTCTTTTACCTATATATTTTTCATCCAGAAGCTAATGCATAAGTGTCTTAAACTTACATTCTGTTTGATAGCCACCAGGGGCTGACAAAGGGGTTTAAAAAAAAAAGAAGTCAATTCAATATAAGTCTATGAGAAAATGACCCTACTTCTGCTTGATTTGATACCTCAATAAGTCTATGGTCTCCATCACTAGTTTAAAGTCTTCTTCAATACAGCATGATGTTCATTTTGTAAATGATAGTCCCATTTCTAGTTAAGTTGAAAATATGGCAGCTAATGCTTTAGGGCGGGGCTTCCTTGTGATTGAAAAGTCACTACCAGGGTGTTAGTATAAGGGTTAGGGTCTGTTTAGTCTTAACACTGTAACCCTTTCACCGTGTTTTTTTTTGTTCAGGAAAGTTAATTGTAACCTTTTGGTCATCTAAAAATGTCCTGACAGCGTGCGGTTTTAATTTAGCTTCACTTCACAGTGTATTTATACACTATGTTTGATAAGTGTTGACTGTTTTTCCCTCCTACCTTACAGTGCATGAGCGTGAACTGGATGCAGACATTGAAGATGACACCAGTGGAGACGTGAGGAACCTGCTGACGTCACTGCTGCAGGTAAAGTCCAGTTTAACCATCAACAAAACTCAGCAACATTTATAGTACCAAAGGGAAGTTGCAGTAAACAAAGAAAACAGAGACAAGGTTTTGAAAAACAATTAAGTGGAAGTCTTGAATTTGGATGGAAGCCATGAAGAGAAGAACAATACCACTTCTCTTCCTCTGATAATGGAAGCACAATTGTTCTCCATGCTGTGGTTCGCCCACTGAGACATTTGTCAAACATCCCATCATCGGCATGCTGCTGCCTCCGTGCCAGCTTTTTCCGCCCTCCCACCCTGTCTGCTTCCCCTCTCTTTTCCTTTCCCGCAGAAAGGAAAGACAAACACAGTGTGACTCACGTTCCACAGCGTGACCTCCTATCCAAAGAGGCCTTCAAATATTTCCCATTGATGTGCAGCAGATGATTGTTATCCCTTAAATGCCTGAGATTACATTTGCAACCTGTCTTTTTGACTTTTCCATAACTCTCTGAATCTTAACTTCACTTTACATGCTTCGCCTCGTTGATCCCTCCTCTTAAACCTGTCTTCTTCCTCTCCATGTCCCCCTCTTTTCCTCTCTAAAGGCGAGTAGAGACGAGGGCTATGAGGTGGATGAGGATTTAGCCGAACAGGATGCCACATCTTTGGTTGAGGTACGTTCCCAGATGCTTCATAATTCCCCTTTGAATTAGTAGCCTTATTCATAGTTTGCCCATTGAATAACCCCAGTGTTTGCAATGTAACGTGATCTAAGGCTTAGATGGCAAGATTTAATAAATCAAGCTGGTTTTTGTGGTATTGCTGCAGTGTGGCTTTTCCTACAGTAATGGATTGTTGGATCTTCGTGAACATTCACTACTTAAGCGTGAAGCTTCATGTTTGAAGTATCACTCTCACACTGTACAATAGCAAGTGTGTGCAGAAACAGGAATCTGCGAGATTGTCCGCATTTCCTCACATCTCACATACTACAATGAGGTTGCTAGTCCTTCACAAACAACCCCTGAGGGCAGTTCTCTTAACCACGTTAGCATCTGAAATTTAGGGATGGAAATTGTGGTCTGTTGCCCCAATCTTTCATCCCTGACACGGAAATATCCCGTCAACTATTAATGGATTCTAACCAAATTTGGGACGCACATTCTTGTTCCCCAGAGGATAAATCATTTGAAATCATCAGATTGTTTAGATTTGTTGATTTTATTTTGTTATTTTCAACCAAACAACCTTTTAAACTAATGACATTCCAATGATGAGCTCTAGGCTTTGTGTTTGGTGCTAATTTGCTCATGCTAACATCCTAAGATGGGGACTTGGATACAAATAATACCTGATGAGCAAAAACACATTAGCATTAGCTTAAATGGCTGCTTTCTTTTAGTAGGCTACATCACAGAGCTGCTAGCATGGTTGGATACTATGTGGTTACCATATCATAATGAGGTTTCATATGTTGTTTCACTACAAGCAAAAGGTTTTGGCTATTTTGTGTCGATAATAATGTATTTTTTCCGACTAGTGTGAGGAATATATCCAATTAAACATTGGGTGATTATTTTACAAACCTGTCTAGTTCGCCTGTAGATTTCTTAAAAATGTACCCAAAAATTGCATTAGATAATGCCTCATTTGCATTGAACAGAGTATTTCAGAAAAGTTTTAATACAAAAGTGATTGTCTTAATTTAAGTAAAAACTGGGGAAGTTCCATGGTGATCTGTATAAGTAAAATGTGTTTACCCCATTCTCCTGTCTGTCCTTCGAAAGGTACTGTATTACTAATAGGAACAATGACCAAACTAACAAAAATAAGATCAAGTTTGTTTGACATGGCATTAAAACACAGCAATGCTGTCTTTAAATGTACTCTTTTTATCCCTGTCAGGCAGGAGAAGGCAGATTTGGCACTGATGAGACCACCTTCAACTTCATCCTGACTCACAGGAACTACATGCAGCTTCAGGCCACCTTTAAGATCTATGAGTCGGTAAGAACTGCTCACATTCCTGCAATAACAAGCTACTTTTTAAACATAATTTCATCTGGGCTTTCATCACTGTTGTACGTCTAAGTTCTCACGTTACTCGTTCAATTGCAGCTTTCAGGGACCGACATTTTGGACACCATTAACTCTGAAGCAACAGGAACTCTCAAAGAATGCTACATTACTCTAGGTAGGTTGGACTTTAACGGGATGTTCGCAAGCCATGACTTATCCAATCAAATGTCAGCATTTTTAATAACACCTGCTGCTTGTGTGTGTTTGTTTTATAGTCAGGTGTGCTAAGAACCCGCAGCTGTATTTTGCCCGACGCCTTAATGCCGCCATGAAGGGAGCGGGTACTGACGAGGACACGCTCATTCGCATCATTGTAGGCCGCTCTGAGGCAAGTCAAAAAATGTGCTCAATTTTAAAGACAAAATAACCAATAAGAAAGGATTTGTTGTGACGGCAGTGTTATGTTGTTAACCCCACAGTTCGACCTGGAGACAGTGAAGGACATGTACCTGGAGAAATACGATGTTACCCTGAAAGACGCTCTGGATTCAGAGTGCAGTGGAGACTTTAAACGCCTCCTCATCGAAATCCTGCACTAAAACATCTCTTCTTCTTACAGGCCTGGAACAACATATGTAATAACTAAACAAAATCTAATACATTTTCACTTTACTCTGCAGAAATTATTGTAATTATTTGCTGCAATCTGGACACAATATGAAAAGAATAATTTTCTAAAATATATTACAAACATGTAAAAATTATTTACTACAGATTTGCAGGGGTTAAGGCAACATCTGGAAGTTCCAATTACCATTAAAAATAATTATGTAATAACCAAAACAAAATGGATGTCTTCATTCATAAACAATTGTATACAATCATAACAACAATGTCCATTTTATCCATTCAAGTATGAATCAAACCAATCCTCCTTGAAACATGCGCAGGAAGGAGGAAGACTGGTCTGTTATTATATTATCCACATATTACATTTTCATTAAAGAAAACTGCAACTCCTCCTTTTTGTAATAACCAGTACAATAGGTGTTAAGTTATTGCAAAATGTGTGAAAATGTTTAGAACAATATGGATATTATTACATAATCAATATAAAATGTGTTACCTTTTGTGGAATTATTACATAATGTGTGGTTTCAATGCCTTATTTAACCAATGTGACAACATCTCTCCCCACCCATTCTTCCTCCTCCTCCTCCTCCTCCTCCTCTGTATACCCCTTTACCAGTTTTACTCATTCCCTTCAGTCATTCTCATGGCAGCATGGACCAAAAAACAATTACACAGTATTTTACACATGGTGAACTTACATTCATAGCGTTTAAATACACAGTTTTGACAAAAACATTACACTCTTACTGTCGAGGTGCTTTGAAATGTTTGTTATCCTTTTTTGACAATATTACGACAGCATTGTGGAACTTGTTAATGTTTTTATCTAAATAAATAGTGTTCTTTATTCACACTCGACAGCTTTAAATAAACATTTCACATTTAAGTTGTAGGTCAGCATTTCAAACATTTGTTGTCAACATAAACGACATGTTCTCTTATATTTGTCGCCTTACTAATTTCTAATAACTTTAATAGCCTCAAAGATGCCTTTCAGAAGATGATAGCAATGCAATTTATTTTTTGTTGCAACACTTAAGTGCCGAATTTGAAAAAGTAGAGGATTTAATATACATAAATATACCCTGATTTCATAATCCTCAACTCTTCAAGTATGCAGTGTCAGGTTTTTGTAGCTACATCCCTAGTTTTTTATTAGGGATTTTTAACTGTTTGTAGTCTTATTTTTAAGTCAAAGCTAACATCCTGCCTCTTACATTTACACACTTTATTAGACAGTTTCCTGTTCTCATTTACTGCATTAACATTTACTACAGTTAAACTCCTACATAATACATGTGTAAAACTTGACTTAATGTGCTTTAAAGATTAGTAGATGATCTTAATATGTTAACCCCATAGTACAAACGCTGATAATGGACTACATGTATGGAATTGTATCTCAACACACTTTATTCAAAACCAACTATACTATATTACTTTAGTATTATAAATAAATATGATACATTGTTGTATTGCCATATAGCAAATTGAAGACTAACTTATATGAAAGACGTTGTTATTAACCTGTTGTAATGGCATTATTATCCAGTGGTAATAAAATAACTTCACCCAAAATGTGTTATCCTCTTTATTTCCTGTAGGGGGCAGCATTGCACCACCATTTAGTACATGGTGCATTTCAGGAAGAGATGACATGCAAGTTATTAAAATAACAGTGAAATCCCTTATGTTATTGTATTGTGCTTGTAACGTATTGTGACGTGTATTACTCATTTTAAACAACCATTTGCTCTTATGTCAACCAAAATGTATTGTGTTTCTGTTTTATAATGTTTGTGGTGCTGGCCTATGATCCAAAGCAACATAAAAGTAGCTTTTTATAATATCTAGCCCAAAACATTTCTGACTTATGCGCAGAAACAGTGGGACGTCTCTTGGCGACTGTAAAGCGGGTAGAGGAGAAGAAAAGTTCAAAACAAGTGAGAACTGCTTCCAGATGCACTGACACAGGAGCAGCCAAATTCTCACTTTCATTCCCACGGCTTTCTTCTTCTTCTCGTTCTCCCACTCCTCTCTCTGTATCTTCCTCTCCCCTCACATTCCTTGATGTAATGGTTGTTTCTGTATCAAGGGCAAGGTTAGGAGTACACTTGCCTCCTGCACATTCTTGCTACCTGTATGTTCACTGTCTGTGTGCCATATGTAGCCCTGCTGCTCGCTCATGCTCTGAAGGCGGTGTGCACCACACATGCCTGTTCATTTCAGACAAAGGTGGGGGGTGGGTTCCATGCAGTTTAATGACTCAAGTATGACGTGTCAGACTCCCTTTTGAGAAATGTTTGTCTCTAAATATTGTGATTTTTTAAAGGAAACTAATTATATTACAAGATATTCCTGATTAATGTCTTAATAGAAACAAAGGGATTGTAGGACAATTATTTGGGTGGGTAGAATGTTCAGTTTAGCTGTTTTCCAAAGCAGGATCCGACAGGGTAAGGAATATCTCGAACGCCCGCCCTTCAGAAAACATGCCTTACCCTCCTCCAATAAGAAAAAAACTGCAATAACCTCCCCCGAATAAGAATAAAAGTGCCTTATCTTAAAAGAATGAAAATACAACCCCCTTATTGGAAAACAACTCCAGTGTTCTTAGAATAAAAAGCATTACACAGCACCAATAGGAAAACATACTTTTATAAAATAAATCATGAAAGCATAATAGGCTTATTTTTTTACATTTGATTTTCTTTCTTTTTACAATTATTTCTAGAAGAAAAACTAGAAATAAAGTATCAATGAATAAGTCAAACTACCCTCCCTGACTGTCCTTCCAAACCAATTTCTGTACAGTCCCAAAAATACCATGATGCAAATATTGACCATTCATCTTTAAATGATTTCTTATGGAAAGTTAAAATAGTTTAATGACACTAAATACATTTGCTTTGGCATTTGGAGGCCGGGGAAATTGTTTAAAATCCTAAACTAAAAGCCATGTAATAAAATATCTAGAAGAACAAGTATGTTTTAAACATAAACCTGTTTTTTCTTACAGGCAAACCTGTTCACTGCTTAAAAACACATCCACACCGACTCAACACACCTTCCTCCATCTGTACTCTATTATCCAGAGTGCTAAGGGTAACTTGTCCTGCCAGACAGTGCTCAACTCTCTATACTGTAGGCGCTGACCTTTTTCCTGAAGCGTTTATCATTGTCAAACCACAGTACCTCACCCAGCAAGTCATCCATCAACATGGGGGTGTTTTCAATTTGTCTCAAGATATGCTTTCTTTCTCTTCTGTTTGTCGACCTACCTCTGCTTATTGTCTTCTGTCTAGTTCCTGACAAGACTGAGGCTTAGTTCACTGTGCTGCTCATGCTTTATTCGTAGCAAAGGTCTGGTCAAGCTACCTAGAACTAGAGAAAATCAGACAGTGGGACAATGTGGAAATGGTCGCGTCGGCACTCTTTTGACACCTTCATGACACAAACCTGCATATTTATGGACTAATCCCCTAAAAGTCATGATTTATGGAGTAATTTATAACAAACAGTAACCTGGGGGTCATAACTTCTAAGGCTGGAATAACAACATCAACTGTTCTACTGGTTTTCATAGAACATATGCCCCGGATCGTAATATGCTTTTTGATCTTGTGCCAAAGCAGAGCAGCACACTAGGAAGAAGAGGGGTTGTCATTGGGCGTGTTAAGGAAAGCCATTTTGAGGTTAACTACCCGGCTAATATAATTTCAACTGTTTAAATTCATGATAAAGGATCTGTTCTTTGATGTTTAATAGGAAACACCTGGCAGCTTCTGCTAGGAGCAAACATATCCAATTCAGTCACCATGTTGCTAACTATGGCACGTGAGGAAAAGCCCATGATTAGGACAAGACACCATCCAAAAAACATACAGTCGTGACGATTGTGACAATGTGATAAGGTTTGTCAGTTGGCAGTTTTTGACTAGCTGTGGTTACAAAATAGGCCTGGCTACTACTAAAGCCGAGCTATAACTCTCAGCTACGTCCTAATCCACAGTCAAAGCGGCCCCTTCCAGTTAATTTCAAGTCACTTCCACAATGGCTTTACTTCTCAGACCCTGGTTCTTACACAGAGACAGCAACACACAATCTGGCAAAACAATTTATTGGATTTCAAATAAAACATCAAATATACACTTTATTACAGTTTGCTTTGAGTAAACATTAACTATATCTTACGGTGTAAATAATGAAGATAGTATAATATCTCTCCAGGACAGTTATACCTGGCCTTAGTGAAACATATGATTGTCTTTAAGTCCATAATAGGCCGAAAAGTGGTCATTAAACAGGGCATGCAGTAGAAATTCACATTAGAAAATGGTGGCTAACATGAAACACATGCTCTTAAAAAACACTCTCCTGAATGAAACCAGCAGCTAACTGCTTTTAGTGACAGCACACAATGCTGTAGCCACAGTGGGAATGAGCTGAAGATCTATTAGAGTCAACAGAGTAACATTATTACATAAATAAAGAGAGAAATACAGCAAATACAATTTCGGAAGTCTGAGAAAATAGTTTAGAGCCATCAATTACGAAATAATTACACTTAAACTTGCATTGATATAAATAAGGTTGATGATTAATGCTACTTTTTTTGCACAAAATAAAAATAAAATGAGCTTTAGGCTACTCACTACAAAATCAAGCAGCTTCAAGCAACAGTTCAACGTTTTGGAAATAGCCTATTTAATCTCTTAACAAAAGTTAGATGAGAAGATTTGAAATGGTCCTGAATTGCAGGTAAACAGTTCAATTGGAGAATAAAAAAGGAGAATGTATTTGCCAAAATGCAATTCCAGAAACCATCTGCAGACACCTGGCAACAATTTCGTTCTTACAGTCAGCTTATTAACTGGCTTCTTGTGACACAATTGAGTCATACAAGTTGGCTCTCTCAACTGCAGTCTTGCATCTGAAGATGCTTATCTGACTGTAAACAAGGTGTAGTGCAGAAAGGGTAAGTTGGCAAGATACTGTATCTGTTGACTACACTGGTCTGGAGAAATAGCCAGATCGATAGTCAGACCGATATCCAGTGAGTTTCAAGATTGTAAAAGTGCTAATAAGCAAATTTTTTACCTGTATTCTCAAAGGTATTCTTACCTTTGGACTGAGCCGGGCTAGTGTTTAAGCTATCAAGCTGCTGGCAGTAGCTTGATATTTAACAGACAGATATAAGAATGATATAGATAATCTCATGTAACTCCCCATAAGAAAGTAAATAAGTGTCTTTCCCAAACAATCTAACTACTGTATGCCTATTAAATCAAACTAATCAAAAATGTCCATCATATCAATGGCTTAGCTTCTGCTGAACTGGAGCAACATGGTGAAGTTTTGTCTCTCTGATGTTACGCTGCTACCCAGAGGATCGACACTCCACTTCCTGTTTGGTAGCTGATCTGGTTGACTCGTCCGCGTACACAGTCAAGTGTGAAGAACACAGCTGTACCGTTATGAACCTGGAAGGACGCCCGCAGGCTAACACTGGCCCAATGACTTCCCTCAGGCATCTGACCAGCCACCTGCTGGGCCAGAGGGACGGGACGCACTCCCTCCGCCTCTCGGCCTCCTCCTGACCCATCCGGATCGATACGCTTTAAAAGAGTCACCTTGACCAGGTTGCAGGAATGTATGAGTTTGAGATCCATAGCCACACTGACTGTGCCGCTCTCCTTGAAAACAAAATCTCGCTTTTGATCTGTTGGACCTTTCCCTAACAGCCCCATCTGAGAAACCTGAGCACTGGTCTGGCGGAAGAACAGCGGCTTGTTCCGGACTGCTCCTGACGGTAAGCCGGAGTTGGACACTGATGCCGTCAGAGAGGAAGACAGAGCAGCAGGGACCCAAACCAAGCTGAGGATACTGATGCCGGTCTCGTCTCCAAAGAAGCGTACATTGCACTGAGCAGGAGAGAGGATCTCAAAACCTAGGGTGTCCCCAGAGCCAACTTTAGCCACTCCTGTCAGAGATAAGGACGTGTCTCGATAGTGGACGCCTGGTTTGAAGGAACGCCCCAACTCAGAGCTGGTTCCGTTACGGTTCAGGTACGCTAGCAGTTGGAAGCCCTCACTCACACACGCCTGGCCCATGGAGTACAACGCCTGCTGAAATACGAACCGCACGGTGCCACTTTCTGCAAAACGGATCCCTCGGCCATCATGAGTCAGCCCCACAACGTAAGGGTCAGACGTGGAGCTGGTGCGGAATACCGGGCGATAGTTGGTATGGTAGTGTGCGGACACCATTGCCTGTGCTGTCATGGCAACAGCCCCAGTGTCATGTGAGAGCCAGAGAAGACTGAGTGAAGCTGCTGAAGGTTCGTACAGCTGCAGAC